AATTAGTTCGTCACTAGAAGACACAATAAGCCAAAACTGACCTCTACGCAGGTTTAATCAAGTCAAGTTCATCTAAGTTTAACGTGCATTATAATTTCTGATATCTATGCAGGTTAAACTTCACAGAAATTAATTCAAGTTCCTATGATAAAAAAAAACGCTTATGGTCCTATTTTGAAATGTCAAATCTCGATTAAGTACACACCTTTTCAATGTGGTAGTGAAGTAAAAACGAATGACAATATTGGTGGCTGAAATTAGGCAGGCGGTGATCCATCGTGGCCTGGGACTGCTACGTCCGAAACAACCCAGTGATCACCATTGTGGGCAACGATGTCGATTAGTGTGGGTTACTGCATATCGCGGAAGATCCGACCACTCGAAGATTCGTAAGTCGAATTTCCCTGAATAATCTATGCAGATGCATGGCGAACTATTGAATGTGGGTTTATCGTTGCAGATAGAATTATCTGAGTGCGGCAACTTTACAGAGCAAACCGAAAAATTCATGCGCAAACATGTCGGTTGGCTACTCAATCTAATAGAATAATGAATAGGAAATTGATATGCACTTTAATTTATTATTACCCAGTTAAATTGTGTTCAAAATTGTGTTCAATTTAATTCAAGTGATAGAATGCGCTATTTCGGGTACATTTCTGATGGCAGTTACGATTATTATACCACGTAATTATTTTAATACTTTGATATACTAAGTGTTTTACTAGCTTTCCCAGTTTGAACGCTTCCGCAAAGAGGAACGTTTAAGCCTTAATGTTACCTTAACCTTAATAATGTTCAGGAGATATCGACTAGTTTGCCTTAAGAAATTTTTCTAGCGTGAGTGTAAAGAAAACGTTTTTTACCTGCATGATATAAATCTCCTGCTATCGACTAACAGTCGTATGAATAAACTGCTTCAAAGCTTAGCAATATTTTTATTTAAAAAGATCCCATCATAAACTTCTTCAAAGTTCATATTCAAAATATTTTCATACAGCTGCTTTAGCGTGTTCCATTAATCATGACAAATTTGCATCAATTTTTCAACGAGGCTGATTTGAGGCAATAAAACAATTGAGAAATAAATTTCGATGTAATTTAATCAGCTCCATTATAAAATTTATATAAACTAGAGAACTAACTTGAAAATAAATTGAAGAAATATGGAAGTGACGGCATTTCGATTGCCCGAAAATAATAAAAAGTGGCAAGAGAAACAGTGCTAGTCTCCTTTACAATGCGAGTAATATAATTTGTTCGATTGAATAGAAACTGCGTTCATTCCTCTAAAATATATATAAATGAATAATCTTTAAACAGTTCCACCACAAATGTGGCTATTCCTCTATTTACCTGACGATTGCAAGCCATTCGTTTCGTATTTACAGTATGTAGTTGATAGAGCTGGTAAGGTGCCATGGTGGTCAAGTGGGCTGAGGCGTAAACGCGGACGCACAATTCCCGCATTCGAATCTCGGAGGTGCAGTCTCGACGTTTATCCGGTAAGAGAACTTGGCTGTGAATTACTTGTAACTTCTCTATATCATTAGTAAAGAATTTGTAAGATTGTAATTGATATATACGATGCAAGTGTATATACGATGCAAATGTTCGACTGCGAAGACTATATAATCTGACATGTCATAGTAAATAGTAACGCGTCTATGATCTCGGAGAGAGAGAGAGTGAGAAAATTTTTAAATTTGTTTTCGCGTAGTCGACAAACGGTCAAACTCAACTGCCGGGCATTTGGCAATTAATATGGATTAGACATCGATTAATGTACATTCGACGTAGATCAATGATGATTCGACATCGATTAATGCAGATTCTACTTCAGCTAGTGTAGATACGACATCGTTCGATGCAGATTATTCGACGCAACAAATTATCGGGTGCAGAAACTTCAAAGATCTTCACCGAATCGGCATAGAATGCTCCTCTTTAATCGGTGCTGCGCCCCGCGACATTGCTCCTGTAATTATCGACTCCAAATTGGATTTTGCCTTCGTCGATCGAGCAGGAATCTGCATCAATATTCTTGATCGAACCCCATCAATCTCCGTCGATCGATCAAGACTTGATTGACTGGGAAATACCAAGGATACTACATGATTGATCCGGCAACATGCAGCGGGCGGACGTTTGATTCATTTCGGTTAAAGATATACACATTATGGCATTAATAAATCTACTTCTCTATATCATAACCTTGTGAAAAATGTTAATGGTGACCAGATATAGAGCTAGACCACAGAGCCATGTCACCTGTAGTGTTGGGATTCTTACTTTATGAAGCTATGCACCCTAACTGAAAATTGCATGCACATGCTTTTACTGAAGAGTTCACAAACAAAGTAAAGAACCAACGCAACTCATTGAATTGAATAGAATAGAAGTGTCGGCACTGAAGAAATAGGCCCATTGCCTGTTGCCGATTCTTGAATTTTTCGTGACTTAATTCTCAAGAGATCCGGCCTTTGGATCCCAATCTTTCCATAACTGACGATTGATTGAGATAGCTGCTGGACTTATTGCCTGGTCCGTAATTTGCTAGGCATTTAAGACTGAACATATGCTCCTGCATAGCTTCGTCTGGACTTATTGCCTGGTCCGTAATTTGCTAGGCATTTAAGACTGAACATATGCTCCTGCATAGCTTCGTCTAGTCTGCTCTTGAAGGCGTTCATATTCGGAGCGTCAACGATGCTATCAGGGAGGCTGTTCCACATGTCGGTGACTCGAAGCGAGAAGAAATATTGTCGCATGGATGTGTTACAACGCAGTTTTTAGCGCATTTTCTCATTTATGGAAAAAATGCACTATTGTGCTCGCCGTGTCCGTCTGTCTGTCTGTCTGTCCGTCCTTCCGTGACCTCAAGTTTTCGTCGACGAGGAAATGCGCTCTCTGTCACTCACTGCAGTGAGTACTGAGTTATATTTTTTTAGTTTATAGCCGTGGCCCCTGGTGTTCAAATTCTAGTAATCCTTCTTGGACCTTGTATAAGCCATGAGTATACTTGTATGCTTCAATGAGGTCCCCACGCAGACGTCGATAACTGATGCTTGGAAGCTTCACAATCTCTAATCTTTCCTCATAGGACTTGCCTTTCAAGCCCGGAATTATCCTTGTTGCACGTCTTTGAACACTCTCTATTACATTTTTTCCTTTTCAAGTTTCTGTGACCACACGACGTTTCCAAACTCTAGGTTCGGGTGCACGACAGCAGCAAACAAATGCTTCATGGCTTTTGCGTCTAGGAACTCGAAAGAGCGTCTGATCAGTCCAAGTCGGTTATTAGCTTTGTTAACTTGACCGTCAATATGCTTAGAAAGTTTCAACTCATTGTCGATATTAACTCCTAAATCTTTTTCCATTGTCGACTTCGACATCATCACTCTGTCGTTGCAACCGTGTCTTCTCAAACTGCAATATTGCTGTTCATTATTCGTGCCAAGTTGGATTACTTTACATTTGTCAGCGTTAAAACGCAGCTGTCACTTATTAGCCCAGTCAACCAGCCTGTCAAGATCGCCTTGTAACTGTACTTTTTGCGACGTATTCTTCACTGTATTATTAATTTTTGTGTCGTCAGCATACATCGAGCAGATCGTTTATAAACGCAATGAATAAAACAGGCGCGAGAACGCTTCCTTGTGGCACGCCGCTGCGCACTGAAGCGCAGTCTGATACGGACCCATTAATTCTGACACGTTGTCGTCTCCCTACTAGGAAATCTCTGATCCTTTTGAGTACATTGCTGTCAATTCCCAAAGACTGCAATTTACGCAACAGCCGCTCATGTATTACACTGTCAAATGCCTTGGCAAAATCGAGGTAAACTGCATCTACTGGTTCCCTTTCGTCCAGCAGGCGGGTCCATTCGTTCAGAGTAGACAAGAGGTTAGGGGTGCAGGATCTCCCGGCAATAAAGCCATGTTCACAGTCTCATAGGAGATTATTAGCGGTCATATGATCTATCAATCGATCCCTCACAACAGATTCCATTACCTTGCAAACGACACTTGTCAAACTGACAGGGCGATAGCTGCCCGGGCAGCTTTTGTCACCTTTTTTGAATAATGGTGTCATTTGAGCTTCTTTCTAGTCAGCCGGCAAGATCCCTTCGTTCGAAAGATTTTCGAAAAATGACGTCAAAGGGCCGGCTAGGACAGTTGCTAACTCTTTGAGTAATCTAGGGTGGAAGCTAATCTGGTCTGTAATCTTCTGGTAATCTGGTAATCTGTAATCTGGTCTTTTAAAAATCAGGGTTTCTAGTAGGGGAAGGAAACCCCTGATAAAAAAAACCTCCGCTGCCTTGCGGCTACACCTACAAGCAGGAAAGGCTTCAGGAGTAAACCTCGAGGAAAAACCTGGAGTCGGAGTCCCTAAGGCGGCTGGATGTTGACTTGGACGTCCTCCCGGCAACTCCTGCAGTCAAGGCGGCTCCAAACGTAGTGCTTGCATTCCCTTGGACCCAGTCGGCACGACCGAGGGGGAGATCCTGTTGTTTGGGCAGCGCAAGATCTCCATACTTCCGCCCAGGCCTGTGCCCCTGAGTGGTCAAGCTTGTCACGCTTGTCCAGTGTCACTGGTGTCTCCAAGCTGGAGACACCAGTGGTGTCTCCAGCTTGAGCAGAAACGGGAGACGATAACTACGATAACTAACCGGCTATAAGTCCTCGCTCAACTAGCGTACAGTTGGACTCCGGGGTCTGACTTCGACGGTGGGGGAGTCATTGTGCCGCATCAGCAGATGGAGTCTCCATCACTTCGAATCTCAAGTTGGAACGTGCGTACGATGCGCACCGGCCTGTCCGATGACCTCCGTGTCATTTCAGACTTTCGCAAGACCGCAGTGATTGAAAGGGAGCTACATAGACTAAACGTGGATATAGCAGTGCTACAGGAAACTCGACTCCCAGAAGATGGCTCCCTAAAAGAGGAACACTACACCTTCTTCTGGCATGGGAGAGGTATCGGGGACGTGAGGGAACATGGAGTTGGCTTTACCGTCAGGAACACCCTGCTTCGCACGATTGAACCCTCTGCATGGTGGCACGGAGAGAATCCTCACCCTTTCAACCACGGCTGGTTTTGCAAACATCATTTGTGTCTACGCACCAACGCTCCAAGCACCGCCTGATACCAAGGATAGGTTCTACGAACTTATGGTGAATACCAAATACAACATCCCAATGCCGGAGCACATTTACCTCGTGGGCGACTTCAACGCCAGAGTTGGGACAGACCACGAGTCCTGTCCTGAAGTGCTGGGTCATCACGGCATCGGGAAAATGAATGAAAACGGCCAGCGATTGCTTGAATTCTGCTGCCACCGAAACTTGTGCGTGCCAAATACGTTTTTCCAGAACAAACTATGCCATAGGGCATCCTGGAGACATCCCAGATCGAAGCACTGGCACCAGCTGGACTTAATTATCACACGCCGCGACTCTTTGAACAGCGTGCGAAACACAAGAGTATACCACAGCGCCGACTGCGATACTGACCACTCTTTGGTCATATCTAACATCAAAATTAAACCAAAGAAATTACACATTCTCAAGAGGAAATGCCAGCCAAGAATTAATGCCAGCAAGGCCTCCTGTCCCGCTAGAAATCAAATTCTAATTGAGCATCTTGCGGAGTTGCTCCCTGCCGAACGGGCAGAGCGCGCAGTCGGTGGGTGGTGCTCTCTCCGCAGCGCCATCTATAATGCTGCTGTCTTGGCTTATGGCATAAAGGAGCGAAATAGTGCAGACTGGTTTGGGGCCAACATCGGTGATTTGGAACCTGCCCTCAGCAGCAAAAGAAGAGCAATGCTTAAATACAAAAGTAATCCAAGTCAGCGGAACCTACAGGTATCGAGAGCGGCTCGGAAGAGGGCCCAACAAATGGCTCGCCGCTGCGCAAACAACTACTGGCTGCAACTGTCGGACAGCATTCAGCGGGCCTCAGACTCTGGCAATGTTAGAGGCAAGTACGAGGGATCAAGCGAGCAACTGGGAGATCGGTGACGAGGACGGCTCTGTTGAGGTCTAAGTCGGGCGAGCCTATCTCCAGCAGGACCGAACAGTTTCGTAGATGGTTTGAACACTATCTCGACCTTTACTCCAATGCCAACAACGTCTCGCTGGAAGCGCTGGACGCTATTGAGAACTTTTCTTCCCTCGATGCTCTGGATGCTGAACCATCTGTCGAAGAGCTAAACAAAGCCATCGACATCCTCCCCTGTGGGAAGGCAGCTGGAGAAGATGGAATACCCCCAGAGGTCATCAAAAGTGGCAAGCGGGCCTTACTTGGCCCCCTACACGAGCTCTTATGTCTTTGCTGGAGGGAGGGCCAGGTACCACAAGACATGCGTGACGCAAAGATTATTACTTTGTACAAAAACAAAGGCGATCGTAGCGACTGCAATAACTACAGAGGGATATCGCTACTCAGCATTGTAGGCAAGGCCTTCGCCCGTGTGGTGCTCGGTCGCCTACGAGCCCTCGCTGATCGCGTTTACCCGGAATCCCAGTGCGGTTTCAGGGCCCAGAGAGGCACATCAGACATGATTTTCTCATTACGCCAGCTTCAGGAGAAGTGTCGTGAGCAGCGGAGGCCTTTGCACATTGCGTTCATCGACCTGACAAATGCGTTTGATCTTGTCAGCCGGAAAGGTCTGTTCATGCTGCTGAGGAAGATAGGTTGCCCCCCCCCCCCGTTTTCTCAGCATCATCTCTTCCTTCCACGACGGCATGCAAAGCGTAGTCAGCCATGACGGCAATACCTCAGAGCCTTTTAGTATCAACAGCGGAGTAAAGCAGGGCTGTGTCCTAGCCCCTACTCTCTTTGGCATCTTCTTCTCACTGCTGCCCAAGTTCGCGTTCAGAGACTCAACTGAGGGCATCCTTTTACATACCAGAAGCGATGGCAAATTCTTCAACTTGGCTCGTTTGAGAGCAAAAACAAAGGTCCGCGCTGTCCTCATCAGAGATTGCTTTTTGCTGATGACGCGGCGCTGTCTTCCCACACCGAGGAAGATCTGCAAAGGCTGATGGGCTGCTTCGCTCACGCCTGCAGGGAGTTTGGCCTGACAATCAACATCAGGAAAACAAATGTTATGGGTCAGGATGTTGTAGTGCCCCCATCTATCACCATTGACGATAGTCAGCTCGAAGTCGCCGAGCGTTTCTCCTACCTGGGCTCCACCATCAACAACAACCTGTCCCTCGATAGCGAGATCGACAAGAGGATTGCAAAAGCGTCAATGTGATAGCCAGACTGAACGAAAGGGTGTGGTCCAACAGGCGGTTGTCGCTTCACACTAAGCTGAAAGTGTACCATGCGTGCGTCACTAGTACCCTTCTGTACGGTAGCAAACCTGGACCACATACGCTAAACTGGAAAACCGTCTAGAGTGCTTCCACCTTTGCTGCCTCCGCCGCAACCTTAACATCACATGGGAGAAGGTTCACAAACACAGCTGTTTTGGAACAAGCCGGCACAATGAGCATGCATCTCCTCCTGTGCAGACGCCGTCTCCTGTGGCTCGGTCACGCGCATCGCATGCAGGATGGTCGCATTCCCAAGGACTTGCTCTACGGGGAACTAGCCGGCGTAGCCGCGGGTTCGCGCCCGACCAGCCGTCCGGCTTTGCGCTTCAAAGACGTCTGTGAGCGCAGCCTCAGAACAGCTTCTATCGACCCCCAAACCTAGGAGCGGCTTGTGGTCGACCGCTGCGGTTGGCGGCGGGCCGTTCGGGAGGGAGTCCGGAGGGGTGAGGAGCTGCGCAGCCAAGAGCTTGAAGACAAGCACCGTCTCCGGAAAGCCAGACAGCAAACAAGGAACATCGTCGCACCGTCGGGCTTCATTTTCGCCAACTGCGGTCGTGACTGCCATGCCCGAATCGGCCTGACGAGCCACTTGAGGCACTGCCGACAGCGTGTTGTGCGATGACGGAAGGGGTGCATACCATCATCTCTCGAGATGGACGGATGCCAATGAATGAATGATGATGAATCTGGTCTTTGGAAGCCATCTTGTCTTTGAGTAATCTGGGGTGTAGAGGTATTTAATACATGGCAATAAAGAACGGTTTAAATTAAACTAAAGTGGTTTAAAACAATAAATAATTTTATGTTACTCAAACTGTTACATAGAGTTTCAACAGTTTTTCAAGTTTTCTAAAAACTTCCTTTTCAATTACACTTAGGCGTCGAATAATGATTCTGGATAAAAAAGACACGATCGCAGTTCTGAAATAAAAATCCATATATTCTAACGTTTCGGCTATCTACACTTTAGCCGTCATCACAGTAAATAAGATGATAATCTGGAAAGAATAGAAATTCAGATAAGAATACAGTGAATATCAGATCAGATTTTATCTATACAAATTGAGGAAATTTGATATCTCTTGGTATTTTACATTGATGAACGGATTATTTTGTCTAATAGCTATTGCCTCCGCTATTCTAAGGTCTAATACTTCAGAAAAAGAATGATAGTGTAATTGAAAAGGAAGTTTTTAGAAAACTTGAAAAACTGTTGAAACTCTACATAAAAATAAAGCCCGATTTATTATTCCTCAAACTGTTACAATAATAAACTCAAACATCAAATGTTCACCATAAAAATTCCAAAATTCGTGTGTTGTGTGCTTTTCGCTTTAATCATAAATCTGACCGACCCAAGTTTTTTGGGGCGACCCATAATTTATTTTCTACTTTATAGTCCACAAGAAAAACGTGGTTTTTTAAAAAGTTTTTTTTAAGTATTTTATTTTCTCCTTTTTAGTCCGTTGCTACACATGAAAAACACATTTTATTTCAGTTGGCCACGCAAATGCACGAAAGAAAATTCTTTTCGAAGTTCGGTAGAAAATTGTATTCGAGGGGATACATTGTTGTTCCCGTATTTACCTGGGTGCGTGGCTGTAATAAAGACATTTAATTGAATAAATACGCCTGGAAACGTGCAACAAATTATTGATTATTGTATTGCCATCGGGAGCTGAGCTTCCCTAAAAGTTTCAGAGCGCTAGCTAGCGGGTTAGTTGGTGAAATATCGATTGCAAGATTTGATCATCACAGACAGACAGAAGGACACGAAAGCGAGCTAAGAAAAACGTGGTAATAAAGTGGTTTAAAACAATAAATAATTTTATGTTACTTCGGTGTTTATTCATTAACTTCGTATTAAAGTACATTTGTTCAGTATCATGTCAGCAACTCGACCTGCATTCTGATCTTATTTTAGTTGCTTTTAGAAACTTTCAATTTTAAACCATTACCATTCAACTAAAGCCACAGGCAAACGAGAACTTTCTTTTTCAATCGAGTTTACGATAATGAACTTAATTTCGCAAAGTACCAATTGAATTCTTTCATTTAATTAAAGAACAGATGAGTAGACAAATGTTTAATTTACTACACACAAATCCAATATTTCCAATACTTGTCTATGTATGGAAGCAAATCTGTATTCATCACCATTCACCTAAAATAATCGATATGAATGATGCTTTAGGTTCGTTCATCATCTTATTTAATTATGGACTGTGTGATTTACTATCAGATTATCTGCATGGGCATGAGTTGTAACTCTCCCTGTGCCTGAAGCTGGCGTCTAATAGTTTAAATCGTTTTTATGTACGCAAGCATAATTATTTGTAGTTCCATCAGAAAAGTAGCTGCGCCATCCCATTACTTATAACGTGACAAATCTTTGTGAGTGTTTTAAATTGCGTTACGAATCAGTGATGTCAATCAATTCAGTTTCAACTATATTTTTTATAGGTAAAAATTCATTCGCCATGCATTGATGCTTAGCAATTAATTTAAATAACCTGAAATAATTTTTTCCTTCTCAAGACTTGTTATCAAGGAATTAAAAAAAGATGACAAAGAAATTCCCCATATATTTATAAAGGAAATCGTTTCAGAGATCAGCTCCATCGTCATTGAATTGTCTTTTATATGTCGAATTTAGATTTTCCAAATTGATGGCAGCATTGGATTTTGCATTATTAATTGATTATATTTACCTTCTAGGCTTGTACAACTGACGATGGAGCTGGGCTCCAAAACGGTTCCTTTTATGAAGACACAGAGAATTTCTGTGCTATCTTCTTTTTTTCTCAATTCATTATCAATTTGTAATTCAAGCAATCAAGTTATCTGAAGCTTGTTATATTTAGGAAATGGAAGAGATGATCGTGGTCACCATCAGGACCAATGAGGAAGAGCAGAAGGCGCGCTCAAGCTGCGCTGCCGCCAGCAAAAAAGCTAAGAAGGCCTACGAGAAGGCCATGTCCCCAATAAACTGCCCCCCTGGGGACGCTCTTGGCGCCTCCAGTGTTCTGAAACTTCACTCAGATTCAAAGAACCAAGCCAACCCAACACATCGTCAAGACAGAACTGTTATCTCTTCGGAATGAAATTAGAGCTCAGCTTGAGAGGGTAAGTACATGGTAGAGAAAAATTTTACTTGGTCTAATTTAGTCCGAATCTCCAAAATCACAATCTGAATAAAATATTCCACCGATATTTTTACTATCTTCTCAGGATCAATTAGAATATGATATGGTGTTGACACCATCCTTCACGTTACTTCATATGAAAATAACATTCGTTCAACGAGTGAGTATTTATATAATAGATATAAGGCTCGCACCAAAAAACGTACATAAAAACATGTTAAATGAACTTTCCATATTAAATAAATTATTATAATTTTTACCCATATCATTAGCATGATCTGAAATAAATGACTTTATTGTTCAGTATAATCTATATCCAAACATCAACTGTTTTTCAATCGAACACAATTATTGGATTTTCTTCTTGAAGAAGCCTGACGCGATATTAAAAAACAAGATAATTTTGGTTCTGGAAGAATATCCGGGCCTTAGAAATAGTTGGAGCGTCGGAGGTGTATGACATTTTTTGCATGATATTTTAGAATGCCTTATGGGAGATAGAGGAACATTTTTCGTGTATAATTTGATTTGCGTGAAAACTATCTCGTAATTAATCCTTTTTAGTTACTAAATGAATAATTAATGGATTCCTTGAAACCTCTAAAAGTGGAAAGTGATAATGCGGAGTTTAACTTTGGAAATTAACTTCCAAATTTAGTTCCAAAGGTTGAGTGAACAAAGTTCTAGGCAACAGAAATGTCCGTTCAATAAGTTCTTGTATTATTCTAAGCGTCGTCACTTGTGGGAAATTATTTCAGATTCAGTTAGGAAAACGGCTAGCAATATTTCTTTCTTTTCACTCCCTCGGTCATTATGCAAAAACGACTTTACTTAGATTTTTCTGACAGTCTCGTGAATGCAAATAGGTTTATAATGAAGTTAGTAAGGCACATGTACTTTCTGATCGATGACAGCATAGAAATTTCAATTTTCATGTTCTTCTCCAATTTTGTGTCGTCCATGAAGAATAACTTAGGTTAATTGCTCATATTATCAGTCTGCTTATATCGCAAGTTCATATGGAATTTAAAAGCAAAGAAAACACCAAGCAAATTCACCATATCGATATTGAAAACGTTTCGGAGTCCAGCTCCATCATCAGTTCGACTAAACTAAAAATGAATAAAATCACTTTAAAAGTCAAAATTCAAAGACAGACATAAAACCTAAATAAGACCTAACTAACATTATATAAAAAAAACAGGACTCGATTGGAACAACTTAGTCCTAGGGTTCACGAAAAGAATATAAAAGCCTAGCGATTCAATATTTCCAGATTATATCAACTAAACGCATTATTGAGACTGATTTCGTTTGAAGATATGTAGAGACTCTCTACATATCATACATATCTCTCTACATATATGTAGAGACTATAGTCTCTACATATCTTCAAACGAAAACCGTGTCTCAATAATGCGTTTAGTTCATATAATCTGGAAATAGTGAATCGCTAGGCTTTTATATTTTTTTCGTGAACCCTAGGAGTCTAGGACTAAGTTGTTCCAATCGAGTCCTGTTTTTTTTCGATATAATGTTACGTAGTTAGGTCTTATTTAGGTTTTATGTCTGTCATAGAATTTTGATATAATAATTTGATTTTATTCATTTTTAGTTTTTCGAACTGATGATGGAGCAGGATTCCGAAACGTTTTCAATATCGATATGGTGAATTTGCTTGGTGTTTTCTTTGCTTTTAAATTCCTTTTGGTTAATTGTATGTGCAGTTTTTAAGAAGGTTGAAATAGATCCAATAGTGGTCGAATTCTCTCTAAAAATTCTCTAGTCTCTGT